CCATTAGAGTCTGTTTTAGGTAAATCTGTGAGAGTATAGAATCTTGGCTGACCACACCGACTGTCTGCCAGACCACCACAGACCCTGCACTCTGATAAGATAAGCCTGTTCTATTCTCTCTTATCTCCTCACAGATGGCCCCCCGCCTGCTTTGTGATAGTTGCTGTAAAAACTCTGATTTCTGCCAGAGCTTTTTTTTTTTTTTTCCCTCTTTGTGCCACCCCCACTTTCACCTAGTTTCAGCTTCTTTCCCCCTATAACCTCCGTCACCCTGGCTCTGCAGGCCTTGCAGGGTTTCAGGAAACTTGAGCCATGGTGGGCGCCCTGATCTCACATTTCATAACAAAGCAACATGCTCCTGCTCTCAGACATGTGTGGCTTCACTGCTGTCAAAAGTCAGCTCCTGTCCATCTTCTTACTTTAGGCATTTTATTATGTTCAAAGTTTTGCTGGTTTAATGTGAAAACACTCTTTGTAAGCAGCCCTGTGTGGCCCTGTGGGCTTTGTTTACCATGAAGCTCTGTCTGCTGGTTTCACTGACTTTTCTGGGTGACCCTTGTTGTTATAAAACACAGCAGAAGGTAGCAGATAAACAAAGGAAACTTTGAAGCAGCCTCGATTGGAGCTTTTCATCAAACTGAGCGCAACAAAGACTAAGCAGCTGAAATGTGTGTGTGGTGTTGCTGTTTCCTTGCCTTTTGCTGTGGGTTCCGGACGGGGTTCTGTCTCTCTGCCTGCGGTTCTTGAACCAGTTGCTGACCTGTGTGAGCGACAGCCCGGTGACTTTGGCCAGGTTCTTCTTCTCGTCCGGAGTCGGGTACCTGTTGCTCTTGTAGCACTCTTTCAGGGCATTGCGGGACTTCTCTTTGAAGCAGTACACGGTCTCCTCTCCGTCCCAGATGGTCTTGGGCAGGGGGAACTTCTTCCTGAGCCGGTACTTGTCCACTGCGCCCAGGCTGCGGCCCCGGGACCTCTCCGCCTCCTTGTAGCGGGCTTTGAGGTACAGGTCCTGCAGGAACCCATGGTTAGACGGGTGGAAGTCGTGGCTCTCCAGGATGGCGTACAGCTCCTTGAATTCCTCCCGGTGGAAAGCCACCAGTGCCTGGGCCTTTAGCAGGGTCTCGTTGCCACGTAGCAGCTCGGACGAAGGAGGTATGGTGGATAGAAATCTCCACAGGCGATCCACATTGCCCGCCTGCAGAAGGGCCTCGCAGAGACATGATACTTGGTCAGTGGAAAAACTCAGAGCCGACTTTTGGAAACTTTGGAGTAATTGTTCCGAAACTTGGAGCGGATCGTTCTCGTCTTTGGCCTCCGTGGCCGTTGGCTCCTCTGGGCTGTTCTCAGATTGTTCTGCAGACTCCAAAGACAAGGAAGCCATTTTCACTTTAACTTTTTTTTTTTCCACCACTAGTTCCTCCTCCTCTCTCCCTCCCTCCCTCCGCGGCGCTGCGCTCTCTCCCATCCTCCGCCAGTCGACCAAACTGTGCCTGCAGACAAGCAGCAGTCACGCCCCTTCGTCTGGCCTCACTGAACCAGTCCGTGTGTTAGAACTATATGCCAATATGAAGACATTTCCACCTTCTAGCTCCGACACTGTGTATGGAGTAGTGAGAGTGCCAAATTACAAAAATAAATCAATAAAAGAATTAAAAAAAAAATGAAAGTGGAAATTAAAAGAAGAATAGATGAAATGTTTTTTAAAAATAATGTGGCAATATAAAGCAATAATAATCAAAAATGAATCCATAAAAGAAAAGGCTAATAAAAGTAGAAATATAAAGACAAATAATAAAACATATTTTTATTATTTATTTATTTTATTTTATTTTTCAAATTTTATTTATTTTTCAAATTATTTTTTAATTTTTTGTAATTATTATTATTATTATTTTTTTATTATTCATTTATGTTTGTAATTTGGTACACTCACTACTCCATACTGTGTTTGCCTTCCTCACATGCATCTGAAACTTGTTTGCATGAAAATCATATAAAGTTATACAACCTAATGTAGATAATCAACCAGTTTTGTTTGAGTAACTGGATAAATATCACAATGTTACAGTACTCAGAAAAACAAGTAAAAGTACAGCCTAACCGTTTGATCTGCACACTTGCTTTTCTTTGTCATATGTGTTCGTAAGCTGAATATCTTTTAGATTTGGACTGTTGATTAGATAAAACACCTGCTCTGGAAACCTATAGTGATATTTTTCCCACTGTTTTCTGTCATTTTATTAACAAAAACAATTATGATATTAGCCAAGAAAATAAGGACAAAAGCTGTTATTCGCTGCCCTTAATAAAACCCTCAGGTTGTAATCATTACTGATGCTTAACAGTGGAGGCAGCCATGTATTACGTCAACTGGTGGAAAGGAAACTAATAATAGTCATGTTATATACTGTTGCATAGAAGTTTAATTTCATTATTAATTAGTCTGCTGATTAAGTTCATGATTAATCAGTGTTTAGGCCAACATGTGTCTAAAACCTGTTTAAATGAAATAACAAACTTGCACACCCATCTGACTAATGTATATAATGAAACACGTTTTGCTTAAGAAACAACATCAATAATAAAAATGTTTCAGTACTCCTGCATTAATCATTTTTAAAGTGTTAAAGTCTACAGTAAATAAATTAACCAATAATAGTATTAATTTAAAAAAAACAAACAATATTGTAGCTAGTGGAGGGGAAAATGATAGCCATGTTATACTGTTGTGTAGAAGTTTAATTTCATTATTGTTAATCTGCTGATTGTTTTTGTGATTAATCAATGTTTTGAACAACAGAATGCAGAAATTGGCTTTTTAAAAAGTCATATTACAAGTTCCCAGAGCTTAAAGTGACCTTTTCAAATAGTTTCCTTTGTTTCACTGTTCACTGTATTCAGGCATCATCCTGACAAAAACCAGAATAACAGAATTGGTAAATATTGACATTAAAGAAACATCCTGTGAATGCCATGTGGTATTTTAGTTTTTTTTTATTTTTATTGGCTGGTTGTGTTTTAATATCTGTGGAATTAGGATAACAATTGGAATAACATTGCTTTATGTGTACTGATTGAGGCCTGTGTAAGACAGTGTCTCCCTGTTGGGTTTCCAACCGGATCCAGTGGTTTAGTGTGTCTGGGATAGTTTCCTAATGCAAATACTGTCAGGACAAACACATACAAACTACTGTAGATGCAGCAGGTCCAGTTTGCACAAACGTCTGCAACAGATGGGCTTATTGAAAGGAGAGAAGGTGACATCCAAAATTCATTTGTACTATTTCAATCAATATATGAATATGAATTCAACACTGTGATACTTCCTGTGTATGGCTCACCTTAAGATTTACTATCTACTATTTCTACATACTGAAAACTCAGATTTGTATGTACAGGCCCTGCCCCCATGAGACCTAGGGCGTCACACATAGAAACTATCCTGATCTTAATGATATAATAAGGTTTATGACCCGCAGGTTTGCAGACCTGCATCTCCATCAACAACCATAGGAATGTAAATCTTCTCTGTGGGGCTGTGGGCTTGTCTCAGCTCCCCCTCTGCTCCTCTCTGTGTTTAGCTGTCGTTCTTTGGTTTCTTTGATCTTTACTTTTCTGTCTATACATGCTTTTGCTTGCTTCTGTTTTCTCTAGCAGTGGCGTCATTAGACGTGAACGCCCAAGGCTATAGCCCCAAATGTTTGATGAATAGCCCCACATAGTTTTTTGGTTTGTATCATGGATTAGATTAGATTAGATTGCACTTTACTCTTCACCACCAATGGGGGAAACTCGCTTGTTGCAGCAGGACAGATACAGGAAAAGAGCACAAAAAACAGGAAGAAAAGAGAACAAATAAAACTATAAATAGGAAGACCTGAGAAATACAATACAATAGAGCTATACGCTGTAGATCCATATAATGGAGACTGTCATTTAAAATTAGACAGATACATAAAATAAAATATGATACAGTATGATATTGCAATGATATTGTTGATCTTAAAACTAAAATGATATAGTTGATCAGAAACGGTAAATTATTATTTACTGTTCTTAAAAGTCGGACATGTTTACTATAGTCAGTTATATTTTCTATTAATGCAAGCGTTTTCTTATGGAGATGCTGCGGTTCATAGTCTCACATCAGGATATTTGCACCTCTAAGTAAGTAACAAAATATGGGAACAGGGAGCTAAGAAGCAACAACGTTGTATTAATTTTTGTAAGTTGCTCTAGTAACTTCCAGCCTCATTAGGGGATGGGCAGAATTGTATGTGTTTTTATCAGCAAAACCATCAGAAGATTTGTTTTGATTATTTCTAGGTATTTATTTGGGATATTGTGTTATGAACCTTTATCGGTGAACGTTTATCCTCACCAACAACTGCATCTCTTCTTCTGAACTATTTAAAATTACTGTCCAGTTACAATATATGTATTTTTCCCCCAAGGTTTTAAATTTATATACGATTCTATCTTTTTAAATTCTATGTATAAGAATAATAAGAAAGAAAGAATTAAAAAATAATAAAGATCCTAACAATGCCTCTGTTTCACAGGAATTCTTTGGTTTATTGCATGTCAGGTAGATAATTTTATATGTGATTTTTCTAATGTTTTCACATTAAACCATACAATAATATTTCGTAATTCTACAAGGTTGTAACCTGTAGCAATGTAGAGTACATTTCAATGTTTTCTTATTACACATGTCTCACTGAAACGCTCTTTGTTAAAATAAAGTTTCTGTTCAGTCTTGGTTGTTTATAGGACTTTAGCGCCACTCTGTGGTTATTCCAATTGTTTTATTCCCTCCTGTCTGTTGATTGGTTATCGGTCGTGTCAATCGTCGGATATGTAGGCGGGTCTTTAGGCGCTTTCTCTTCCTCTTGTAATCCTATTGGTTATATTTCTTTGCTCTGTGATGTGATTGGTCGGTTCCAGCCTGGCGGAGGGTAGAACCTTCCAGAGCTGGGCGTAGCAGGAATTGATGTTATAATTTTCTGGCTTAGCCACGCAGGGAGGTACACGCACCATTTTCACGGATATTGTAAAGTAGTAGTCATGTATTCTTCAGGTTAACTGCAGATACAGAGACGAGCCGGCAATTTTCTTCAAGATTTTTAAATGCTATCGAAGAAAATACGCAAATTTGTAAGTAACTATGGCAACCCTTTCCGTCTAGCCGAGTGAATCCAACGTGACTCTGCTGCTGCTAGCCACCCAAACAGCGAGCTGTGGCTAGCTAATCTAAATAAGCTAGCTGAAATGAGAGCATGTAGCCTATACATGAAACTTTAACACTCGCAGTTCATATATTGTACAAACACGAGAGTGAAAAGCGCAATTCGCAAGTAAAATATAAACTTAATAAAATTTCGTTTCAATACGGCTATATATTTAACGTCAGAGCAGTGTGAAAGTGACGTTTAGTACTAACAGTGGAATGGAAACAGCTTTACACAGCTGTTTGGTAAACTAGATGTATATTATTTATGTCATTGCAGAACCTTTTATCTGAATTACTCGTCTAACAGCACTTTGAGTTAAAATTGACTTATTATTGGGTATTAATTCCAGGTACAACACTTGTTTGCGGCGTAGAGGTGGTGAACAAGATTCAGTGCTAATAATTAATACCTGATTTTTTTTTTTGTCTTCTCTTACCAGTGACCAATAGCTGAGTACAAACAGACTGGAGAATGGACGGCGGAGTGGTAGTAGTTACCAATCCCTATGTGGATGTGCGGCTATCAAGCACCATCTCCTCTTTTGATGCAAAGCGCAGGTTCAATAGAGGGATTAGTATAGCAGAACTAAAGGTGAGATACCATACATCACACAACACATCGCAAAACCCTCAAAAGTTGATGCTATGTTGTGTTTTCTTAGACCCAACATGCTGTATGGAGATAATTGTCTATTTCTGCCCTTTTTGTGATGTATAACATGTACTATTTTGTTGTATTGTACTTAGGCAAAACTGGAGATGGTTGTGGGTGCGTCTGCCTCCTGCATGGACCTGGAGTTATTCAGTGTCTCTGACAAGTTCCTGCAGAAAATGGATGACAATGAGGCCTTGCTCGGTTCCTATCCTGTGGATGATGAGTGCAGAATACATGTATGTACCTATTCAGTTTGGAAGTACTTGTAGTACAGTGACCCAGTTCACTGTCACACCGTAGTACAATCCAGGTAGCCACAGGTTTCTAGATTATTCTCTGGAACTCAATCTGATGGTTTCTTCATGCTGTCAACAACAAATATGCTTCAGCTAAGTAGGGCTGGTCCAAATAGCAATTTCTGATATTCGGGCCCATCTAATGGCGAATATCCGAATATTCGGTTGGACACGGGGGGTAGGGGGCTATTCAGATACCACCACAATGACCGAATATTTGGATATTTGGGTCCAGCCCTACAGATAAGACACCACACACTGTGTAACATTATGTACATTCTTGTTGTCAAATTGTTTTGAACTGATTTGCAAATTAGAGCCCTGCTATGTAGATTGTGGCTAATGATTAATTAAATAATTAGCCTTTCCCTTTGGGTGTACCATCATGGACTTCATTAGCAAGTGGAAGTTTTAAAAACAATTGCAGCTATGACAACAATATTATACATCAGTTGTGTGGAAACATTTTGGCTAGACAAAGAATGACCAAAATCGGTTATTCTGTTAGTAGTGCAGTGTTGACCCATTTGAACCACATTGTACCACAACGCTCTATATGGTGAGTGCAAAGCCAGACTACAAGTCCAACCAAAGTGAAAAACCATTTTGGATTCCTTTGCCAGTGTTACACCATATGAGAAAGGTTCCAGACAAGTGTTTTTAACTAAACCACTCCCATCATTCCCGAATGATTAACAGTATTAAGTCATCTGATGGAAAAAAAGTGTATTTTTTATATTGAAAAAATAAAAAATTCACATTGTCAGTTTTTCCCAACATTGTGCAGCCCTCATTGTCTTAATTAGCTTTGATCCTTTAAACATAACGTTTTGGCAGTTATTTGCTGTTACAGCTAGATGCAGAGCTGATGTGCCTATCTCTCTTCTTTAATCTCATTTCTTGTGCAGGTTATTGATAGAAGTGGGGGTCAGATGGACGAGTTCTCTGATGTTTCCAAAGTGGAGAAATTTGAACTGTCAGAGGATGCTTATGAAAAAAGATCAGGTACTACACTTTTCCTCAATTTGTGACCATCATAGTTAATTTTTTTTTTCCTCTGCTGATTAGTTGATAATTAAGTCAGTCCACTTAGTCACCAGTGACTATCAATCAGTGGATGCAGACAATAATTGATGGAACTATCAATAATATACACTATTAGCTGCAATCAATACTTCATCATACGATGCCTGAGTGGCTGTTAATTTTTTTGTAACCATTGATAAATTGTTCAAATGTGAATTTATTTCATTCGATTACAGATACATGGTTTCACAGTCTGTTTGAAAGTATTATGTGTTTAGTACAATCCACCTCTCTTTTCTTCAGAGTCAGCAAGGTCATTCATGAAGAAGCATCGTGTTGGTCGCTTCAATGAGGAAGAAAAGGCCAAAAAGAAAGCTGAGCATGCTGCTCGCGAAGAGGAACAGAAGGCTGCTGCTGATGCCATTTCTGTTGGCAACCGCTGTCAAGTGCAGGTTCCTGGGCAACCCACGAAGCTTGGCACAGTCATGTATGTTGGTAAGTGTGGATAAAGCTTAGCTGGTTTACTTTCTTTAGGACATTAGTGTAAACCCCGCGCTGCTGAGGATTTTCTCTCAAACAGAGCAGACTGTGTTGTAATTTACAGTGTCTAAGGCCCATTACCCAATCTGTGCAGGCTACACAGGGGGAATTGTAGTTCTTTTTATGAATTGTTCAGATAGTTACAGGAAAACCTGCTTGATTGTCTGCTTTCCTGTTCTGGTGTGTTTTGTTCCATGCTGTCTGTTACATTAGCAGACTGTAAATTTGCCCAGAAAGTCCTTCCTATTACAACTGATGTGAATATAATCAACCTTAAGTTTTATTTTCAGTCAGTTTGCCAAAGTACTGAGTCAAAACAATGTTTCACTATCCAAAAACATAAACAATGCAAGTGATTCATTGTGTCAGGTAGTCTTCCTCTGTGGAAGAAATTATAATAAACTATTGTCAAGTTTTGTTGTTGCTTGGTCTAGGTATAAATGAGGGCAATTTATAATTACTCAATGAATACCATATACATTTCTGATCATATAACACACTGAACAATGTTGAAAAATATGTTAATAAAATGCAAGTTTATTTACATTGCATGTTATAATGAACAGAGGTCATTCTAATTGCTTTGCAGGCAGACATGGAAATGAACAAACTAAAATCTTTTAATTTAAAATGTTTAATGCCTTTGCACCAGCAAAAGCCATGGCTGAAAGATATGTTTTCAGGTTGTCTGCCCATCCCATTCTTGTGAATATGATATATCCGCAACACAATGAGGGAATTTCTGTGAATTAGACACCAACGTTCCCCTGGACTTAGTGATGAATGTCTTAGAATTTATTGGTCAAAGGACACTGCGACCTTACATAAGTCGTCTTTTTTGTAATAAGTCAAGAGTTTTACACAAATGTCATCTTAGATATAATAAGTGATGATATTTTATATCCCAAATGTTAACTTCACTGTGACATCATAATGTTATGCAACAACACTTTCCTGTTTGTTATTTACCACCATAATTGAAGAACAGAAGGGCGAGATTGTGTCCATATTTTACAATTGGACACTGCTGAACTGGCGACACTAGTTTTGGGTGACCACCTTGAAACTGTGGTTATTGTATTGATCTTCTGTGCTGCTGTGTTGTGTGAAGCATCTACATTAAAGAATCTTTAGCTTCTTTGCAGCAACATCCATTTTGAAGCATTGTCTGTTGTCATGTCCATAATTTTATGTTCTGTCGGAGTCCCCTTTCCTGTTCAAGTGTACATACACTTTATAAAAGTCCTTTGAAGTCTTCACTACTTATTTTAAGTGAGTCTGACAGATGTGGATGGAAACTGCAATCTATTAGTTAGTGGAGGCATAAATCAGTGAGGTGTTAATTCGAGTTTCATGTTGTTGCCAGTTTCAGCAGTTTATGGAGACTGAGAATTTAGGATCATGTACCTGCTATAAAGAAAACTGTTTTGTTTGTTTGTTACAGGCACAGCAGATTTCAAACCAGGCTATTGGGTTGGTGTGAAGTATGACGAGCCTTTGGGCAAACACAATGGAACGTAAGAGCACTATGTTTTTTGTTTTGTTTGTTTGGTGTCTTTTTTTTTTTTTTATAGCAGTAAAACAAAATCGGTGACGTTGATCTTAATTTTGCCTGATTATGACCCTGACTCTTTCCTTTAAATTGTGTCTCCACAGTGTTGATGGGAAGCAATACTTTGAATGTGAGAACAAATACGGTGCATTTGTGAAGCCTCTGAGTGTGACTGTGGGAGACTTCCCTGAGGAGGATTACGGTTTAGATGAGATGTAGGACTGTACAGTTTCTCCTGCCCTGAAATTTAAGCGCCAACCTCAAGCTGTTTATCTTCTCACCAAGCAGAGAAGACGAAGAGTCGTTTTCATTCTAACAAATGTTTACTTTTGGTTGCGCTTCTCTGGTGGGCATTATCCAAAGGCCTCAAGTTCTCTTTCAGTTTCTTCAGAGCAACATGACAGAGTTGACTGTTGGGGTATGATCATAACAAGTGATAATCACAAAAGAGGAGCTCACACCAACAATGTCTCATAAAGTCGAGGGCTTTTGTTGCAGCATATTAAAGGTTAAGTTGTGGACTCATACTCCACACACTTAAATTTGTCTTGCTTTAATAGTACTTCTTGGTCCCATGCAATCTGTGGATGGGAGTCTTCTATGTAATCTCACTGTCTGTTGGTAATTTAAAGCTTAATTTCTCCTCATTTAGTTAATGTCAGTGTGTACAAAGACGATTGTATATAACTGTTTATAGTTAACTGTAGCCTTAGCATTTTTTTGAAGACTGTAAATTCCTAAGAGAGTGGTCCGACATTTGGACAACTGTCTGTTAAAGGAAAAATTCACCCCGACATACTTTGACACTAAAATCAAAAGTGACATTGTCGCCTGTATTTCCAGCTATGTATTTCTAATTGAGTTCAACCGGAGAAACGTTTTCCTGATTAGTTTAAAATTGGTGCTTAATGGCCAAATTTGTTTCCATCAATTAATGACAGACAAGAAATTCCCAGTTAGAGGAAATAACAATAAATCCATATCAACTGTAGTCTCAGTCGTCCACAGTGTTGCACAGCTTCAGGCTGTATTTTAACTCTACAGTACCACCCTCACAATTTTGGGACAAAGCTCTTGCTCCTTTTTGCTGTATTTTGCAGCTATGGCCTTCTACATAGACATACAATGCATGGAAAAAGTGCCAAAGTGTGCAAGGGTAGATATTTCCTCTCTAAACAACATTGTATGCCCTCAAATTTAATTTCTCTTTGTATGTAAAGAATTTCATTTGTAGCTTTCCAAGTTAATATAAGATGTAACTGATCTTTATTTTTCTGTGACTGAATTCCTCGTGTTAAAAATTAAATTGCCTGCACTTGAATGTGTCTTGCTTATATTGAACCACTGTAATAAAAAATGTGTTTCAGGTTTAATTTTTGAAGTGGTAAGGACCACATTTACGCTTTTCTTACTTTAAAAGTGACCGATTACATTTCAACATATCTCTCTTATTTAAACTTAGCTCATCTGCATACAAATGGATGTCAAAATCAAAGTCAATTCAATGATGATGGACAGTTTGCTCAAGTAATTATAGAGTATATAGAAGCTCTGCTCCAATATAGGTAATTTGGATGATGAAACATGTTTGAATCCAGTTTCAGTCTGGACTGTAAATTCCTGCATATATATATTTTTTAATTCCCTCAGTTCTATGTAAACATGACACATTGACTTTCATACAGTAGAAGTACAATCGCTGTTAGCACACTCCTTTCATAACATTTCCATTCATCCTTAAGTAGCAGGTCATTTAGTGGAGATGAGTGTTAACTTCTGAAACATACCTGTTTGTTTTCCATCTGTAGCACAATCATGAAATGTATGACATCTGCAACTCACTAATAGATGTATATTTTTGATGAAAAGATTTTTCCAAGTTGGGCATTGCAAAACGCTAAGGAACAGCAAATATGGTAAAACTGTCATTTCACCCATTTACTACTCACTGATTAGTTAACTGCACTTTCTGTCATCATCACCACAACACTGACAATGTGCATTTCAAATGAATTATATGCCTTATTTATGTTTTGTTGTATGTGACTGAGCAAAAACAAATTCTAACATGGTTTTTATTTGTCCTCTAGAGCTTACAGAACCAATGTAAATGAGTTATTCTTTTGGTTTGTATTGAATGAAATGTCATTACCACAAACAGAAAAATGTAGTGTTGTTCTTTTCTTTTTGTTAAATGTTCATCTCTGAGGTGCTGGTGTTACTTTGTGCCAAAGAGTTCATGCTTAATAATAAAAACTGTTTGCTGGAATGCTGATTCGTTTGATTTATTACACTTAATGTTTATTTTATGTAATGTTTCACATATAGAAGTCATTTTGCTTTTCCATTTTCTCCACTTTTACAGTTACTAACTCTGTACTCAGTATTTAAATATTGCATGCTGGCATCCTGGAAGAGGACATCCGCAGCTCTCCCTAAGGCTTCACTCCCCACTTTTCCCCTTTAAAGTTTTTTTTTTTTTTAAATCTGAATTTAGAATCTAAAGATGGAGGTTATCTTATGTTGTACAAACTGTGCCCTCTGAAGTAAATTTGGAATCTGAGGCTTTGTTAATAGAATGAACTTGACATATGACCATGAAGGAACATGTTGCAAATGTGTGGTGCAAGCAGGCAAAATACCTTGAAGGAAAAACCTTCTTGCTTGCTTTGTTGAATTATCTTTGATAATTCTGTACATGTCCAAATTACAGGGACAAATTGTGTGAAAAAATAGATCAGGGCATGATGGGGAATTTAAAGCAGATACAAACACCATATTTATTCTAAACTGTTGTATACAGTTTAAATAAAGGTACAAATGTGTTATATCAGAAAAATAAAACATCCAGAAAAATGTAAAGTATCAAAAGTAAAAGTATGAGCATGAACAATAAGCATTGGCCCCTTTTTAGAGTGTTTAATGTTGATGGAATATTAGGTAAGCTTTGATGTAGCTTGTTGAGGTAAAACTAACTTTAAATATATTATACACACCACTTTCAAGAACATCATGCTGAGAACAGAAGTATTAAAATTTTCCCCTTTGAAATGTAATGAACTTGAAGATCACTATATAAGATAAGTGAGGACAACCCTGTGCCATCACTTAACATTAAATGATTCCAAACTGTATCACCCTACAATATTTGCACATTTTCTAACTTGACAAGTAGAGAATTTTTTTTAAACAAAATGAATACAGCTGTGATCGCTGACGTACAAGTTAGAAAGCTTGTGATCGTTGAAACAAAACCGAGTTCAGCTGTGGTTTACAATAAGTCTAACTGCAAAGACACGGTTATAAAATGACCTGTGAGCGCCAGAACACCAGTGCTCTGAAAAGCAGACGCTATCAGTGGAAATCATCGTTTCATTGACACCTCAGACAGTGTGAAGGACGTTGCATAACAGGAGTCTATGAAAGACGCTTGCTCACTCTTTGACAGAAAACTGCGAGATGAAACTTTGCTAAAGATCACGAAAAGAAGCCCGATGAATACTGGGTGCACATTCTTTGGTCAGATGATAAAACGCAAATTTGTTTGGCTCAGATGGGATCCAGCATGTTTCTTGGACAGCCTGGTCAGGACGACCACAGTTAACGCCAAGTCCTGACAGTGAAGCACAGAGGTGGGAGTGTGATGATACGGGGCTGCATCGATGCAGAAGGTGTTGGGGAGATGACATTTATAGATGGCACCATGAATGTCTGTGGATACCAAAATACTGATTGACAAGATGACACTCAGTTGCCAAGAGGCTTGGCTGAAGAGAAATATTCCAGCATGATTATGATCTAAAGCAAATGGCCAAAATCAGATAAGACTTTCTACGGAAGAAAAAGGGAAACATGTGACCTGCCCAAGTATACTTCCCAACTTGAATCTAATAGAACACCTTTAGAGTTTTTTTTAATATATATAGAAAGGTAGATCAACACAACCCTTCTGGCAAAGATAAGCTGAAAAAAATAGTCTTATTTTTTTCTTGTAAATTATAGAAAATTGTACTCAAATTTGTTGTCATCCGTGCCAATTGAGTGTATCATTAAAAGTAAAGTTGAACATATGGAATATTAAAAAAATAGATAATATGAATCTCAGTAATGGCAGTTCCTACTGTGGGGGCTGTATTCTTTAATATAGTACAACTGAAATATTAGTTTTCAATTTGCATAAGAGCAAATGTCCTATGACTCAACTTGTGTAGTTATTGAGAAGTGATACTATTTTGATTCATTTGACATTTAAGTGATACTGCACAGAGTTGATCTCACATCTGTTGTGTTATAAGGTGCCCAAAAATGGAAATTCTCAAGGGATGCATGTAATAATGGCGTATTAATACCATACATGACGATATACCACCACTGCAAATGTAATACTGGTGACTCAGATTGATCTCAGTTTTTGCCCTTTTAGTGAAATGAATGTGAAGGCTACAACACATTCATTTTTTCCCCTGTTTAACAGTTTGTTTGTAGCTATGTTTAAACACCAAGTAATACATGTTCCATTTTCTCTTTTTTAGACAGCTTTCATTTTATGTTTACACGATGCGTGACTAAGCACAGTGTTTCATGCAGTTTCGTCAGCCTTGTCACAAAAAAAGCAGCTTACAATATTTATCACAGTTCTCCCCTCACTCCCCTGAAGACGCACGTCACTCCGATGACGCTCCCACGGAACTCTCGCGAGAGAGCGCGCAGCTTCCCAGCCAGCAGTGTGGTGTGGTGTGTGCGCGATAGAGACGAGGAAAGATGGCGACGCAGGAGAGCGAAGCAACTAAAGCTACCGTGAGCAACGGCGAGGTAAAAATGAATGACACTCTTGTTGCCGTTTTTTGGCTTTCGCGTCCAGGGGAAGGAGGCCGGTTTCTTCGTTTGAACGTTTACTGCGGGGCCGTTATCGTTTAAACGTGCTAGCGATCGTCGTTACACGAGCCTCAGTGACGTTGTCAGTGCCGGTTGGTTTTAAAACGACCCCCTCCTGCCGTTAACGAGAAATCCTGGCTGTACGGAGGGAGGGCGGCGTTGACGGTGAAATCTCACCTGAAGACACACGGTAACGTTAAACTGACCGGATAATTAGCTGGCAAAGAGTGTGTTGGTGTGAGCCAGCTGACTGCTGCAGTGTGTCAGCTCGCTATCGCAAGGCCTGAACCTGAACAGCGCAGCTTGGCTTGACTAACCAGGCCAGTCTCAAGCAGCTCTCACACACAGTTCCCCCCTCAGGTTTAACATTTTCACCGGTTTTTTACTTAAAGTCATTTCAGGAAAAAACACCAAAAAAACTCTGCTTCAATGTGTCTTTTTGTAACTTCCACAGAAAGGAGTTTTCCTGTCAGCTCAGCTTGACAAGTTGGATGAATCAGGTGTAGCTGTCTCAGAGCTTTAACATGGGGGCAGCTGGACTTCTCTTTTTGCTTATGAAGGTGTTTCATCTCTCATCCAAGAGGCATCTTCAGTACTGCCATTTGCTACAGCTTTACTGTCTGAAAAAAAGCCTCTTGTTTAAGTGAAAGATCATCAAGAACCAAAAAGAGAAGTCTGCTTTCTTTTTACTGAAGCTCTTAAGATCATAATGACCTTGTTAACTGAATATCTCCACAGACGTGTATCGTCACATTTGCAAAATGCTCCTACTTTGTGATGTCAGCAGCTGCTTTAGTGAAGTACCTGACAAGCCGTTGTTTTCTGGAGTGACAAATGCTCATCACAAGTTAACAGAGGTCATCGTGAATCATCACTCTTCAGAGGCGAACCGCTATTCTCCTCTGGGCCCAAGTGTCAAATCCACAAAAAATTGTAGTCACCAGAAATATTGACAAAACCAGACAGTACAGTCGTAGTAAATTGCAAGTCTCGGCCCTTGACAGACCAAGACAGTCAGTGAGTGCTCATTGAATTGTTTCAGGGAACAACTTGCGTTTTGGTTCTTCTTTTCTTTTTGTGATTTCAGTTTTATTTTTAAGATAATCTTACTTCCAGTTTGTGTCTCTAATATGTTGGCATTATGTAGAATTGCATGGCTGGACATAGATAAAGCAAAAAACACTAAAATCTGGACATTACTAAACAATTTTGTAGTTTTGTAGTTTTGCAGTTGTAGTTTTAAAGGCTTTTCTGGAGGCCTCAAAATTTCTAGTAGTAGAGCTGAATGATTTGGAAAATTTGCCATTAGCAATGTAATTTGTTAAAGCTTCAGTGCAATATTATTGTTGTTTTAACATAACAAATAGGACATGACTTAAAACGTGTAATATGTCATTGCCACACCATCAAAATATTAAGTGCTGTCTATTTTAATGCAAGGATGACAACTTAAAGATATAAATTGCGTGAAACGTGTTTATCACATTTTTTAAATGGCGTAGGAGACAGAACAATTATCACAATAGGTGTGACTGTTATGTTCAATGAAGCAATACAAAATAAAACAACTGCAGTAAGGAAATAATAGGACATTTCTGCCAGCAGTCTGTGACATTGAAGCAGGCAGGTTATTCATAGCTCCGTAGCAGCATCTAAGTATTGCACATTCTGTAATCAAGTTAAACATAGTAATAATGATGCAGTACAATGTTTTAATCTTGAAATCAATTAATTGTTCAGCCCTATTTACAACCCATTTGGTGAAAAAATTGTGGCACATCGACAAATGGGTTACATAAATTTGTTGTTCAGGGAAAAGAACAACCCCTTTACAGACTGAGGAAAATTATGTGGGTAATGGCAGTTAAATGTTGAACTTCATTTTTCTTCCTTTCTTTCTGTATTTTATTTACAGCTCGTCTGGGATTTATCTTCCAGAAAAACAGACTCTTAACTCTGTGCTTCATATTTAATATGAATACACATGTGGCAGAAACTGGGGCAAGGGTACAACACGCACTAAGTGTCTCTTTTGTAATAAAATTGCTCTGTCAGGATAAATGCGAGGTTAGTTTTAGAGGCAGCACTTATGTTGCTCTTGAGGCCCACTGCTGTTGAGAGAGATTTCTGTGATGATAATAATTGGGAGGGAGGGCACTAAGTGGAGAGTAGCCAGATATAACCACAGGTGTTTGCTCTGCTTTTCTTAGTCTGGACTTAATTTTCTGCTTTATGTAATTGTGTTGATAGTGTCAACGGTGGCCATGTCTAAGCTTCTTCAGTTTTTCTTGTACTACATGTCCAGTAAATGTGGGAAGCTGGCCTGTACTGTTGACAAATTTATATTGTAGCACAGACTGGAAATGTTTTTCATAGGCTTGTTTATTGCCTTAT